TTCGCGATTATCGCGACATGTGGTTTATGCTTGAGAGAAGGTGAAGCGATACATCGCAGAACTAATGATATCCATCTCTGTGATAAATTCCTCTAAGTTGCCTGCTAATTCTCTTGAGTCGTATCTTGACGAGGCTATGTTGCATGCTTGACTGAAGTACTGCAAATAGGTTCGATGAACGCGTGGAGTAACGTTAGCGCACGCTGCCCTTCTCCGTTGTAGCATGCTTTATGAACATATCCAGAAATGTGGACCCTGCAGCTGTGGTATAGCAGGGATTAGCCCTAAAGGGCAGCCATGGGACGGACCTTGGAACTTATACTAGTAAATTGACTGCCATGCCGGGATAGCGACGACCAAAGGCTACAAACGGAAGTCATACAAGCTCCATATAACATCCACTCAATAATGTATATTAGATTGATAAGTTATTAACCAATACGAAGCATGTACAGCACCCCGATCGAAAACGCCGTTGAGAACCGGAGCGCCTATTTGGATCGAGTAAAGTGCAGGTTGACCCTCCCTCCGGGCAGGTTTGACATAAGCGAGTGATATGGGAAGGCAGTAGAACAAAACGTTCCGGCGTCAGCCCAAGTCCACTCATCAAGACAAGCCTCGGAAGTTAACGAGGGTCGGTAGCATTCTGCGCACATCGACTAATTGACACCTCATAGAAGAAAAGGAGAGTGGCAACTTAAGTAGTGCGGGGAGGATGAACCCAAAATCCACGAAATGTCAGGGTTTGGTTTACGATGGCTTGTGAAAGGATCATGACAAATGGTGCGAGGCCAGGCTCGGCGCTATTCGTCCTTCTTACTCGGATCCGTAGCCAGAGGCTCGGCTTCATCCTCGTCGTCCGGTAAAGGAACATCCATCACACGCGCGCCAGCTGTCTCCAAGATTCTGCGACTCCAGGCCCGCACGCCTTTATAGACAGCCTAAGACGAATCAGTCGCTGAGGTCAGTAGATACGGTTCGGAGTGAGGTCACTCACCCACAAGAAGGTACCCACGCCGATGACAACGAGCAGCCAGCCGACTCGGGTTCTCCCGGTATTTCCGGTGTTTCGGCCGGAGCTGTTGCCGCTGATCAGGCGCGTGGAACGCACCATCAGCCCAGGCCAGGAAGAGAACGCAAGAACGGACTTGATGCAGGACAGCAGGCCCAGAGTGACCACTCCCTTGAAATAGTGTTGTGGCCAGGAGACCTCGCGGTCAGGCACCGGAATCCTGGTCTCCGGCTGCACGGGCCAGATACCCCTTAACTCGGTGGGTGCGAGGGGATCATCAGGGTGCGGGATGATGTTGAAGAGAGGGTCAGCAACGAAACCAAGTAGAAATACAGTAAGCAACAGAATGGCGAGAGTCAACGCAAGCTGCATCATGGTGCTACTAATCCAGCGCGCCAAGCGGAGACGTTCTAGTCGGTAATGGAACCCACAGGTCGGGCAGTGCCAGAAATTGCGCCGGCTGTAGCCTGCGTCCGAGTGGCGCCACTGTTGCAGGCATCCTTCGTGCACATAACGGGAGGATCCTTTGCATTTGCAGGGACGGAGCAATCGCCCGGACTCTGGGTCCGACGATTCGTAGACAGGCCGCTGTTGGGGCTGCAGAAACCCCGGGATATGTTCCGAGGGAGGAGGAAAGGTGGGATAGACCGTTTCCAGGCAGATGCGACACGTCCGAGGCGAGTAGTGCCGCTGTCTAGTCTCTTCTGTGGTATTGCCCGACTCCTCCTTTGGAGGGGTGTCCGTAGGGTCCTGCTCGGTGTGATCCGACTGAGGCGGCGCAGCCGGTTCAGCAGGCCACTGCCAGAGCGGCTCATTGCGCGAATCCATTGCTTCTCCTAGTTTGTAGATGGTTGTTGCATAGTCTAAGGATCAGCAGATCTACCAGCGATCTGACGCTTGTGATGCGATCAATGCCGCAGTTATGATTGTTGCATGAAAAAAAGGTTGAGAAGAAACAAAGAGGAGAATTGTTTTGAGGGCGGGGGGGAAGGAAAAAAAGAGGCCAGTTTAAGAGAAGCGGGTGGAGAAGGTCAAGCGCGTAAAAAGCGCACTAGCCGCTCGCCTAACGTCACCGCCCGAGGCGCGGCTTGGCTGGTGGTGGTGGTTGCTTTGCTACTGCTGCGTCAACACCTGCCGCCTGCTGTCCGAAGGGAAGCTTCACGTCAATCCAATCCCCTCCTCCACTACCACCACCACCTCCTCCTCACATTCTCCATCCCCATCATCCCCAATCACTTCCATTTATCTCACCCACCCACATACCTAGTACCCTCCGGAGCTTCTGGAGGTGAAATATCGTCTCCATGGCTGATCGTTACTCTTTCTCTTTGACCACTTTCTCCCCCAGGTAAGCCAAGCTCTCCGCTAGTACTCGAGTAACATCAGCTAACAGTCGGGGTGTAGTGGAAAGCTGGTCCAAATCGGTAATAACCTTCAACCAGCTACTGCTTTGCCGGGTCACTGACAATGCCTAGAATATGCTCTGAATGCCGTCAACCAGGGTGTAACGGCCCTTGGTATCAAAGGTATGGTGGCCCTCGATCCGCCGCAGCCACAGCTACAGCTACAGCCACAGCTACTGACTCCCTGCCTCACCGGACACAGCTACCAACGGAATCGTCCTCGCCACCGAGAAGAAGTCGTCGTCGCCTCTGATCGACCCCCCCTCCCTCTCCAAGATCTCCCTGATCACGCCCGACATCGGCATGGTCTACGCCGGCATGGGCCCGGACTACCGGGTGCTGGTCGACAAGGCCCGCAAGGTCTCGCACACGGGCTACAAGCGCATCTACAACGAATACCCTCCCACCCGTATATTAGTGCAGGACGTCGCCCGGGTCGTACAAGAGGCGACGCAGTCCGGGGGTGTCCGACCGTACGGTGTCAGCCTGCTGATTGCGGGCTGGGACGAGGGCATCGAGCCCGAGACCGGCGATGCCCAGCGCGGCGACGAGGAGAAGGAGGGCGAGCCCAAGAAGGCGACCGGCAAGACGGGCGGCATCCTGAAGGGCGGCCCCAGCCTGTACCAGGTCGACCCCAGCGGCAGCTACTACCCGTGGAAGGCCACGGCCATCGGCAAGCACGCCACCAGCGCCAAGACCTTCCTCGAGAAGCGCTACACCGAGGGCCTGGAGCTCGAGGATGCCATTCACATTGCCCTGCTGACTCTGAAGGAGACCATTGAGGGCGAGATGAACGGGGACACGATAGAGATTGGTAGGTTTTCTGCGTTTGTGGGATAAGGTTTCAGGCTGACGTTTTTGTTTACAGGTATTGTTGGACCTCCTGCCGATCACTTGCTGGGCTTTGAGGGCGTCGAGGGCGCGCGGGGACCCCGTTTCAGGAAGTTGACCAAAGAGGAGATCGAGGACTATCTGACCAACCTATAAACCCTTCTCCGTCTTGTTACACTTTATTTGGCGGGGCCTTATAGCATAATAGACATCTACCAAGTCTGGCAGGGTTTCAACAAGATGATGCTTCTAAAGAACAATGAACAAGGGTGACAGCCGGAAGACCCCGGGACAACCAACGCAAGTGATGAAATGTATGGGGCGGGTCGACATCGCCAAGTAATGCCGCAATCTGAAAAGGAAACCCTAGTACTATACTAAGTCAATGAATGTGATTTGTGCTAAAACAGGTTGTGTCTAAAGTAGGGAGGAACCTTGCACCGTCCGCCACTCTGGGGGATCTCGGCAAGATATGCTACCCTACCATCGACCTCAGGACGACTGGAAGAGCTCTTCCCCCTTGAGGTAAATGCTAGCCACGAGGAATGACTGGAATAGATACTCGAAGTCTCCGCCCCACGGGTCACTGCAGCAGAAGCAGAAACCCAACCACGGCCATCACCTGACAGACACGCCAGTCAGTCTTCGGTGTTGCCAAAATGATAACCTTAGCCGATATCAATAAATCCGCAGGGAGAGAGGAGACATGACTTACCCATTGAGCACTCGCTCAACATCTCTGTAATCCCATACCTATTTCAGGAGTCAAGTTAATGCTAGGTCCCTGGAACTAAAGCAGGAACAAGCCTACAGGGCAGGGCAAGATT